ACTCTCATTGATTTACCTGCCTCTGCCTCCCAACTGCTGGGATTAAAGGTGTGTACCACCAGCCAAGCCTATTCCATTTCTAATTTCCTCCCTGGTTGTGTGGTTGTCTATCAGGAGAAGGTCAGTTCAACCCACCTGTCAGAGTGTAGGGTGCAGAGTCCCCAGAGGCTCTGTTATCTCTGGGTGGTGTGTCAAAAGACACCCTCTGGGTTAGGCTGATGATGACAGCAGGGGCTAGACACTGTGTACGGAGTGACCAAGCACCTGTCCTCTTCACAATGGCTGTTAGACAGTACTTCATCACCCCCAAGAGATCTCAGTAGTCTGTATGGCTGCTGCCCACACAGCAGAGGCAACAGCTGCAGAGGGAGGGGGAGTCCCTTGTGATCAGGGGCGCTGGCATCTCACCCAAAGCTGCAGGTTCAGATCAGATCTTCCCAGGTCTGGAGCACATGGTTCCTGAGCTGTCAGTAGAGGGTGTCCACCACACACTGAGGAGGCAAGAATGGAAGAAGATGGGCCCCGAACCAAACAGATCCAAGCTCATCCCTTGCCTCTGTTCTTTGACCATCCACCTGCTGTGGGGAAGGTATTCCACCTGATTCAGTTTATCCATGCATCCCCAACCAGGTTGAGAGAGGGTACGCTGCACTGGGTCAGCGGTAGCATTTACCAATGCTCACGTTTTTCCCAATGCTTTGTCTGTGCTTTTTCACACTGACCTCCTTAAGGTGAGAAAATAGAGCCTTAGAATTGTTAAACTTCCCCCTCCCAAGATCCCACAGCACTGCCTTTCACCGCCCACCAACGTACCACCCATTAGCCAGTGCCTATAGATTAAAAAGGCTGAGCTTATTAGAAAGCTCAAATCTCCAAATCTAGGTGTCACAGGTGTACCAACTGTCATGGGCCCAGCTTCCCCAGCCCTCTCCAGGCCAGTTCTTCCATTGCATCCACCCTTGCTTCTAACACAGACCCTCAAGTGGGAAAAAAAAAAAAAAAAAAAAAAAAAAAAAAAAAAAAAAAATTATGATGCCGCAGAGGCTGGGAAAGAAAGAGTGAGCCAGGAAGGCTCAGCCAGAATGAGGAGAAAACCAATTACTGAAGAATTCCACAACTTCCCGACTTCCCGGGGTTCATAGAGGCGAACCCAGCTGGTGAGTGAAAACGTTGATGCAGCGCCATCTGCTGGAACCAGTGTTCATTGCAATGAAGTGAGGGAAAACCTTTCCAGGTCTCAGACTGGCTTTTTTAAAAAAAATTATTTATTTAATAACCATATAATTAGAAGAGGCATTTCATTACAACAGCATTGACATATTCAATAACAATTTCCAGAGCTAAGATGCGTCTCTTTCAAAATTGGCTGTAAATCTTTAGGTTTACAGTTGAATTAATAGTTACACAATATTGTACTCCATATCAACCCTATAAGACATAAAGTTAAATGAGGTTTTAAACTTTAAAAAAGATCTCCATTTCATTATTAAAATACAGTTTCATACAGGAAAATTCATTTTTAATACAATTGACACTAAGATGCACATGCGTTTCTAATCTCTATATATCTGATTATTACTAGTCACAGTCGGCTTTTTTTTTTTAATTTACATTTGTTAGCTGGGTGTGGTGGTGCACGCCTGTAGTCCCAGCACTTGGGAGGCAGAGGCAGGTGGATCTCTGTAAGTTCAAGGCCAGCCTCGTCTACATAGTGAGTTCCAGGACAGCTGGGGCTACAGGGAGACCCTGCTTTAAAAAGACAAAAAAAAAGGCAGGGCGGGGAACCACACCTTTGTGCTTTGTGAGGTGCTTTGTGAGTCGATTCTCTCCTTCCACCGTGTGTGTTCCAGGTATCGAACTCAAGCCATCAGGCTTGGTGGCAAGCATCTTTACCTGCTGAGACATCTTATGGGCCCAGAACAGACTTTTCAATCCTGGTTGGAGATTCTGAGGCAACAGGGTCCCAGGACTTAGAGACAGTTCTGTTGGACCTTTTGTGGCTGTCAGGGTATATGTTTTGCTTTGTTTGTTTTGTTTTTTCTAGTGTCAAGCCATAGTTTTCGTGAAATGAACTATAAAGGCTTGATATCCCCAACTCTAACAAACATAGAACCTGTCTTCCCTGCTGTGACCAAGGAGGGATTTTGATTTGTGGATCTTGGCTTTTGTAAGGGAGGAGAGCACTTCCTGCAAACGCACACATATCCATATAAAATATAGTTGGAGACACTGCAAGATGAAGTATCAAATTTAATTTGTTCCCTTTTTATTTTTAATATAGATGAGTGTTTTGTCTGCAAATATATAAGTGCGTCCATGTTTGCAAAGCTGACAGAGGCCAGGAGTGGGCATTAAATCCCCTGAAACTGGAGTTACAGGCCATTGTTAATCGCCATGTGGGTGCTGGGAACAGAACCCAGGCCCTCTGTAAGAGCAGCCAGTATTCTTAACCACTGAACTAACTCTCTAGCCCCAGTTGGGGGAAGTTAACTAATGAGTTTTATTGGGGTTACTTTAGGGGTACAGGTGAGGGGTTACTTACAGAAGTAGAGATGACTCAAAGACAGCTGCATCACCAAAGCCTGCTCCATCCAGCATGGGTGACAGCTCACAAAAGCAGGAACCCTGGAGCGCACTGCATAACCTGCAGGTAGCTCAACAGGTTGGAGCAGGTCCTTTCCAGGTCGCTCAGCTGGTCTGAGCTTCTTCTACGCAATTCAGCTTTTCTAGGTGTCTCCCTTTTTGAAACATGTACTCAGCGACTTACAGTGAGAAGCCACTCACCTTCCACCAGCAAAATGATTCTCTTCGGCCACAGTCATATAGCAGTTGGCAGCTGGGTTGTCAGCTCCTAAAGGATCAGAGCTGCTGTATGTCTTAAAAATTCAGTTGTACACGTGGGACTGAGGACTTCACACAGAAGACCATTCCTGCCTTCCACAAGCTCGTGGTTTGTAGATGAGCCAGCTAGTCCATGTACAGCCATCGGCATGGAAAACTCATGTGATTACAGACCACACAGAAAAAGCCTTGCCCCTTCCAGGGTGGAGTAGGCACCAGCGGCAAATCCCCTACATGTGGAGGTTTGCCTCAGAAGGGCATTCACTCCATCTGCTTGCTGACCACTAGCTTTGATTGCTTGGCTCTTTAAAAGTCTCTTACTAGTTGTCAAAGATTTGGCAAAATAGCAGATGATGCCGTGAATGCCCTGCTTCATGATCCTGCTCATCAGAGTTGGTCCAGATTCTAGGGATGGGGATGGCTCCTGCTGCATCTTGGGAATGAAGGAGGAGACTCATGGCTTCTTATGTCTAAGTAGAGCCTGGCTGTGCATGATGGAAGAAGTGTTATTTTGTTGTTTCTCTTGCCACTCACCCCTCCCAATTTTAAACTCATCTTCCTCATGTACACCCCTGAGGTGTTTTTCCTTTTTGGGGGTGGGGGTTGGGGTGTAAAGATTGCCTGTGACTCTGAGCCCAAACTGGCTTCCACCACAACCCCAGCAGTAAGCTAGGGGCCCAGGATCTGAGAGCTTCTGAGTCGCCTGTCCTGCAGTGATGGACACACTGGTCATGAAGCCACATCTGCCTCTGCCTTTTCTCAGACTAAGAACTCTTAGGGGTCAAGACCACCGAATGCACCTGCCCTTCCCAAATTCTAGTTAACTTCAGTGGTGTCACTCAAATCATGCTGTTTTGCTTTTTGTTCTCTCTCTCTCTCTCTCTCTCTCTCTCTCTCTCTCTCTCTCTCTCTCTCTCTCTCTCTCTCTGCATGTGTGCAGTTGCATATACACACACGTGTGTGTAGCTGTGTGTGGAGGTCAGAGGTCAGTTCAGGAGTTATTCCTCAGAAGCCTCCCACTTTGTTTTTTGAGACAACATCTCTCGCTAGCCTAAAGTTTGCTCCTACCTCTGCCTCCTCAGAGCTGGGATTACAAGTAAGTGCCACCACACCTGACTTTATGTGTGTTCTGGGTATTGAGCCCAGATACTCATGCTTTCAAGGCAAGCACTCTACAATCTGAGCCATCTCTGCAACCCTGAAACATTTTTGAAGCTGTCACTTATGCAGGGCAAGAGGTTATTTCCAGACCTTTGGCCAAGGTGCTGTGGCAGGGATGGAATTCCAGCCCAGGGATGGTGGCTCCTCTGTCCAGCGCCAATCCATGCCTGCTCACTGTTCTCTGAGAGAGCACACTGTGTTTCCTTGCTAAGGCCCTGCGGCTGGAGAGGCAGAATGCTCATGAGTTACATGAGTAGAAAGTGTAGGGCTGTCAGTGGTGACATCAGCCAGCAGGGGGAGGCAGCGTGCTAGAGAGGAGTTACCTGGTTCTCATAGATGCTTTCAGTGGCTTTGCAGTAAGTCCTTCCCCTCCTAAGCCTGTCAATAGTAAAAAACAAAGCGAAGATCAAAATCCATAATCAACAAAATACAGTTCCTTCATCCAATGGCAAAGGGAAATCTCTGTCTTGTGTTTGATGAGGTTCTCTGTATTCAGACAGGGGATTAGCGTGCACATGCTCCAGTTCAGAAATACTTCCTGCCAGTCCTCCGACCGCACATCCACCTCTTAGGTTAGAGCTTATCCTTCCTTTCATTCAGGGACCAAACGAACACATGTTGCAGGAGTCCCGGATCTGCGGACTGACCATCCTTTGCTCGCTCTTGTGTTATAGCATCTATGTGGTTCTATAGCTTTGTCTTTAGCTTTGGCGGTCTTTGAGAAAAGATGTGTTGGTTCTTGTGTGGCCCAGAGAAGCTGTATACACAGCATTAGAAGTAGAGTGGCTGGATGCAAAGGAGCCACGTGGAGTTAACCCTTGAGGGAGTTTTCACTCGCCATATGCCGTATGCCACCGAGTGAGCCTGGGTAAAAAGGAACTTGCAGCTCTTAGCCCCACTATGAAACGTGACCTCTGCACTCTGTCTACTCCTAAGTCTAAGGCCCTCATCCCAGGGCTGTGCTCTGAGCTCACCCAGCCCCTCTCTTCTTTCCACAGCGGTCCCAGTCTGCATTCTCATTCACCACAGAAGATGCTATGAAGACCTGCTCCGTGGAGGCTTCGTCGAGGCAGCCCAGGGACCGTGGCAAGCATCTGCAGGAGGAATCTGCTCTGCCCAGCTGGAAGAGCGTGGATGGGCTAGACGGAATAAGTAATGGCCTTTTGTTGTTTGCTTGTTTTGTTTTCTGAGGCAAGGTCTCATGAAGCCCAGGCTGGCCTCCAATACCCTGGGTAGTCAAACATGACTTTCGAACTCCTGATCCTCCCAGCTTCCTGTTCCAAGTGCTGAGATTACAGATGTGTACCACCACAGCCTGGCTCCAAGTAAAGGTGTTAAGCAGCCTTGGGTTGGTCTGTGGATTTCTCAAGTGCTGTTTGGAGTCTTGATGGCTACAGTATGACTGTTCAGCTGTCCTTCCAATTAATCTGGGTGGATGTGTGACTGTGTGGGACAACTGGCCCACCCAGCCACAAAAGAGATTTTAATAGGTAGTTAGTTGTTTATCTTGACACATCTGAAGGTGACATTGTGATTCACTTCTGCCTCTGCTCCTCCTGCTTTATTCTAGAATGTTCTACTTCTGCCTTTGGTAACAGAACTCACATCAACATCTGTAACACATAGCCCTTTTTAAGCTGTTGAGTCTTACAGTGCCCCAAAGTGAAGGGGCTTGAATTAGCTTGGTTACTTTCCTAAAGTCACACCTGGCGGTTGTAAGATGCTTGTGACCATATGGGCAGCAGCCAGAGACCGCAAGTCCCTATACTCCAGGGTCTCTTGCACCCCAGCACATGTCTGTTCCTTACAGTAAGGACATATTATACAGCAGAAGCCAGACCCACACATCCACACGTGTAGCATCTGTTCCTGACATCCTCACCTGTGTCAGACATCAGATCTAGATTCTTTTCTGAATAGCAGGAAATACTTAACAACAAAGACAGTATCCTAGAAATAAACTTTTAAAGCTTGTGCCGTCATTTCTACACTAATAAACGATGGACCCAATAGCCAATGACAAAATCTACACAGTGCAAAGAATCAGAAATGTTCAATTTTTAAAGATTGTTATTTTGTGTAAATGGGGGTGTTGGACACATAAGTGCAGTCCCTTGGCAGTCAGAAGAGGGAATCAGATCCCCTGGAGCTGGAGTTACAGATGATTGTGAGCTACCCGATGTGGGTGCCAGGAACCAAACCCAGGTCCTCTGCAGGAGCAGCAAGTGCTCTTTACCACTGAGCCATCCCTCCAGCCCCACATTAAGTATTTTTAACTGTCCTTTTAAGGATTTTCCATAAGAGATCATTTTCCTGCTAGCCCGCTAGTACCTCTGTAGTCAGTCGAGACTACACAGGCAGGACAGCCAAAGTGCAGTGCAGCTCCCTCTATGCACGTGCTGTTTCTGGTTTTGTTTCTTAAGTGTATCTTCAACCCTAGATATGCTTTTCTGATAGCCAGCATATTGATACTTTCTCTTTCCCCTCCCTCTACTCTCCCCTCCCCTCCCCTTCTCTGCCCTCCTCACTTTTCTCTCCTCACTGTCTCCTCTCCCCCCTTCTTCTCCCTCTCTCTCCTCTCCCCTTCTCTCTTTCTTCTCCCTTCTTTCTCCCCCTCCCCCATTTTCCCCTCTCTCCTCCCTCTCCCCTCTCTGCCTCTTCTCTCCTTCTCTCTCCCCCTCTCTCCCCTCTCTCTTCCCTTTCCCTCCTCTCTGTCCTTTCTCTCCCCTCCCTCCTCTCCACCTACCCTTCCAAACCCTCTGTATCCCCTCTCCCCAACCCCATTTATCACTGGAGCTGTCTGTGGCTTGAATCTCTTCCCTCCGTTTGCTGCACGTTGTGAGCACATTTCTAACACGGTCAACCCTAGAACTAACTAGGCACTGGGTGTTTATCTGGAGATGTTCCTCCTCTGCCTTCCTCCCGGGAGGAGAGCAGGGCTCATTGAGAACTGCACAATCTCGCTGCAGCCTGTAGTGTCCTCATCCTAGAAACTGACTGACTTCTACGATTTCTTTCTTCTGGCGCACACAGTCCATGGGGGGGCTACATCTTCCTGGGTGACTACCTTCCACCAGGAACAGAATCTAACATGAGGACATGGGGGATTATGGTTCACTTAGGGCTTAAACCTGGGAAACACACAGGGAAAGGCATGAAATGAGGAAGGAACAGCAGTAAAGGACTTGTTACCACTGGGTGGGGGTGAGTGGCATTTCCCCCTTAGAGAGCCATAAAGAAGAGTCACCTGCCCTGTAGAGCTAAGTGCTTAGCCACAAGATCCCTTAGTCAGCAGGGGGACAGTTCGCAGGTATTCTAGCCTTGACAACATAGGCTCTTGTACCCAGATGGAGATTCAAGGGAAGAAGTGCAAGTGTGGCAGCTGAGGCCCAGGTGGAGTGCGCTGAAGGGGCAAAGGTCACGTTGGTGGACAGGACACTCTCAGGGTCACTACAGGGAACATTAGTGTGGTCTTTACTGGCCACGAGTAGCTTGGTGGAGAGCCTGTATGTCCCAGCTCCCCAGCCATTTGGCCTGAGCCACAGCACTGGGCGTGGGGGGCATCTGCAAAATACAGACACTGTTCTCAGCAGACCAACTGCTGCCACCATCTTGGAATGGGGAGATAGATGGCTTAAGGTAAAGCATTGGCTGCACAAGCAGAGGATCTGAGTTCAAACCCCACCAGGCATGGTGGTATGTGCCTGTGACCCCAGTGCTGGGGAAAAGGAACAGGAGCATCCAGGGCTTACTGACCAGCTAGTCTAGCTGAATCAGTGAGATCCAGGTTCAGTGAGCAATCCTGTCTCAAAAATAAAGTGGAGGTGTAGGAAATGGTTCAGTAATGAAAGCACTTGCCACATCACACATGAGGACTGGAGTTCACATACATAAAACCCATATGAATGCTGATAAATCCTGGGAGGGGTGACAACCCACCTGTAATTTCAGCCTCAAAAGGCAAAGACAGAATCCCAGAGCAAGCTAATTAGTGAGATTAGCCATATCAATGCGCTCTAGGTTTAAGAGACCTTGCTTCAATGTATAAGGTGGAATGTCAACCTTAGGCCTCTACATGCACATACCATATGCATGCACACATGTATGCTCTCACACATGCAAACATACCACAATATACAAACATGAGTACACACATGCATACCACACACACATGAAAAAAATAAAAATAATGTGGAGAGCAACTGAGGAAGACACCCAACATCGATCTCTGCCCTCCACATACACACACAAAGCAATTCATCTGGTCTGAGCAGGTATGGTAACTCCCTGCATGAGAAGTCCCCTCCTGTCATCCTCATGACAGCCCAGCAAGGGTTGAACTCTCCCTTGTCCCCAGTGAGGGAAACAGGGATCTGAGAATCCCACCACAGCTGCACAGCTGTGAGGGCCTCCCACCCAAGCCACTGACTTTGAGACCTCTGTTCTTTCTGCCGTGAAAACTGACTCTGGAGCAGAGGAGGCTAATTTGCTTCTAGGACAAACAGATGGCTGGGATCCAGGACCTGCTTCGGGCCTTGTCATCCAGAAGCTGGCTAGATCATGTGCGTGGTCAGCTGGAACACAAGGGAGATAATGGACAGACAGCCAGGATAGTAGAGGGGGGTGAGAACAGGCTCTGAGAATAGAGGGCTGTGGGGATGAGGGGCTGAGAGGCTTAGGAACCACTGGGGCCTCTCCAAGGGCTGTGGGGATGAGGGGATGAGAGGTTTAGGAACCACTGGGGCTTCGCCAAGGGCTGTGGGGATGAGGGGATGAGAGGTTTAGGAACCACTGAGGCTTCACCACAAGGTGTGGCAGAGATGGGTGATAGAGAAAGGACTGGCTGAAAGGAAGTCCAGGCGCCTGGACTCAGGCTTCCAGGAGGCCCCTGATCACATCTTCTGTGGTAGGGGCCCAGCGTCCTCTTGATGAGAGAGCCCCACTTCCTGACTCAGAGGAGAGGGAACTTGATGTTCTGCCAGGCTGGGCTTCAGGCAGACAATTGGTTTGGAACTGTGTCACTGTCACTGAGTTAAAAACACACCTTCCATCAGCATCTGAATTCTTCTAGGCTAGGTTTCTGCGAGGGGTAGGCAAGGATAATGCTCTGTGGAGATGACTGTTCTGTGGAACAGTAACAGGGTCACTGGCGGAAAACTGTATCATTTAAGTGGAAAGTAAGATCCCCCTCTCAAGGTCTTGAACAACAGAGTTGGGGCCCTATAGGCCCAGTGGCTGACAGTCACATACAGGTTAAGAAATGGTCCCTTCCAGGGCTCTGAGCTTTCTTGGCATGCCCTGGTGAAAAACAGCATCTCCCAGGAACCACCGTGCCTGAGGAACCTGTAGCTCAGAGACCATCATGTCTCTTACTCCTATTTCCAGTAACTGTTTTCCTATTGGCCTTTAGCAAAAGTAAGGTAAGGCAGCATTTTTCTAAGATCCCTGGCGTTGGAAGTTGTCTTGGTTACTTTTCTCTTGCTGTGATAAAACACTGACCAAAACCAACTTGGAGAGGAAAAGGGTTTATTTAGCTTATATCTCTTGGGTCACAATTCATCACTGAGGGAGCCCAAGGTAGGAACTCAGGACAGGAACCTGGAGCACAGACCATAGAGGAACACTGCTTACTGTTTTGGTCCCCTGGCCTGTGGTCAGCCTGCTATCTTATACAATACGGGACAACCTGCCCAGGGGTAGCATCACCCACAGTGGGCTAGGTCTTCCTACCTCATTCAACAATCAAGAAAATGCCCCACAGACATGACCACAGGCAAGTCCAATGGAGACAATTCTCCAATTGAGGGTCCCTCAACCCAGGTGTGTAAAGTTAACAACTAAAGCTATCCAGCACAGAAGCATTGAGGCCCAGCCATCAGTCATCCCAGGTGACTTGAGTCCAGTCAAGAGCAATCTAGACCACAGCTACAGACTCCGGATAGCCCAACCTCCTGTATTGTGCCTAAGAGTGGTTCCAGGGCTTCAGCCCAGAGCAGCCCAGAGCTGCTTTGGAATCATGAGTTGCCTCTCTGTGACCTTCACTTTTCTTTATTCCCTCCTCTGTAAGATAAACTGGGAAATGACAACCACTTTCAACCTCAAGTCTTTTCTAGAGGCACGTGCCTTGGGTTAAAAACAGCATTTCATGCCCATCTGCTGTGAAGTGACTTCTGTAAAAGTCCTCAGGGCAGCTGTGTTTAACTGTGAGGCAGGGCAAGCAGGTAGGAGAATTCTTTCCCATTGGTGAAGGAAAACTAAGGATGCAAGAAACAGACCCAGAGCCAAGATCAAAGAGCAAGAGCCTGGGCTGCCTGCTGTAGCTCTCTCCCCTTTCCTCCTTGTCAGCCTAAGACAGTGTGGGGCAGCTGTCAGGAGACCCACAAAGAACCAGGTCTCCAAGTTCTGCTCCATTGAGAAGCCTCCAGGGATTTCCTGGACACTCTTTTAAAAAAAAAATATTTTTTATTCATTCTTTGAAAATTTCATGCATGTATACAATGTATTTTGATCATATACCACCCCTGGGGTACCTCCTTCTAAATCCCCCTAGGGTCCCCCTGCCCAACTGATTTCCCTCTTAACTTCATCTCTTATTGTTGTTACCATCATCTTAATTATATATATAATATTATTATAGCCCCCTGAGTCTAGTTAGTGCTGGCCATGTTGGAGTGGGTGTGGGTCCAACCACTGGGGCATGGGCAACCTACCATATCCCCAAAGAAAAATGACTCTTCCCCCCATCCACCTCAGCAGCTGTCAACTGCTAAATGCTCCTCCACTAGGGGTGGGGACTCAAAAGCCCCTCCCCCATCCATGTTCAAGCTTTGCTTGGCCTGCTCTTCTGCAGGTAACCAAAGCTACTGTGAATTGATGTATTCAACAGCTCTTCATGTCTAGAAGAGAGCTTTTCATAGCATTCCTCCCCATCTTCTGGCTCCAACATTCGGCCCCCCTTCCACAATCTTCCCTTAGCCTTTGGATGAGAGGAGGTCGATACGGATTTCCCATTTACAGCTGAGCACTCACAGTCACTTATTCTCAGTGCTTAGAACTAGGTTCTCCTAAACCCCACCTCTGAGTTTAAGGTGTACACTACCGACCTTCCTAAAGGTGGTGGCTCCCCACACTTCTGAGAACCAGTCATGGGCAGCGGCATGTACAGCCCCACCTTGATTCTGTGGTGATAACAGCCCCCTCTCTGGTTTCTCTCTCCCCTCTGCCTCACAGATCTGGCCCCAGTTTTACAGAGCACTGATGGGAACTGGATGGCCCTGGGGGACAATGATACTCAGCCCCCAACCCGCCTGCTGGTCAAGCCCAAGAATGAAACGTTTCAGGCCCTAGAGATGGCTTCCAGTGTGGCATCTGCCTATGATGACATGGGCTCTGACAGTGAGGAAGACTTTGACTGGAGTGAGGCCTTGAGCAAGCTGTGCCCACCATCCCGGGTCCGGCCCAGGCAACCCCGGCCTCAGCCTGCACAAGCCAAGAGTTCTGGCCAAGGTCCCTCAGCCACCTCTCCCCCATCTGGCCTATCCCCCAACCCTGACTCCATGTGCTCTGATTCAGAGACCTCCTCCATAGGCTCCTCTAGGGAAGCTGGACGCCGAGCCAGGATGTCCTGGCTGCAGAGGAAGGGCCCCAAGAACCTCACAGCAGAGAAGATGCGCTTCCAGGGAGAGCTGGATGTGAATTTCAACCCCCAGACAGCCAGCGGAGAGACCTCAGACAGCAGTGAGCCAGAAGAGACCTCTCACACTGCAGACCAGCGGGCCAGGAGGTGGAGAAGGGCCCAGGTGGGCTCTGAGGAACCAAACACGGAGCTGTCTTCACCCGGTGCCCATCCCCAGGGTCTGCACATACATCAGGTAAAGAAACTTAACCCACGCAAACACGTCTGCACATTTAAAGTAGGATGTTCCCTCCTCCATGTATAGTGGCCTAGAGATCCCTGGGTTTGGAATACATAGAGTAAGAGTTGCATCTTTGTCTTGCTGCTAAGCAGCTGAGTGATCCAGGCTAGATCACATTAACCTTCTATGGCGCTGTGTCCTTGTTAGTTCAACTTTCTTATTCCTGTGACGAAATACCTGGCAGAAACAAATAGGAGAAAAATTTGATTTTGGAGGCTTCTGTCTGTGGCTGCTGTGTCTCTTGAGCATGAACAGAGCATCTCGATGGCAGGAGCAGGTGTCAGGGAGCTTCTTCACTTCCTGGTGGGCAGAAAGCAAGTGAAGGTAATACAGAGGAGGGCCAGGGCGGGGCTGGTGAGAGAGCATAGCTGGGAAGGTACTTGCTGTGCATGTGTGAAGAGAGTTCAATCCCCAGCACCTGCATAAAAAGCCAGGCACAGTGGCACGTGCCAGTAATCTCTGGGATCCAGAGAGAAGAGGATCCCGGGGGCCTGCTGCTCAGCCAACCTAGCCTCACCAGTCAGCCCCAGGCCAGAAGAGACTCTGTCTCAAAAGACAAGGTAGATGGCTCCTGAGGAACAACATCCGAAGTTAATCTCTGGCCTCCACATGTATACACAGGCAGTGGCACACACACACACGCACACACACACACACACACACACGCACACGCACATAAACAAATTAATTAGGTAGTTATTAATTGATTTTTTTTTAAGGAAAGAAAATGACCAAGATAAGATATAGCTCCGAGGAACATTCTTGATCACTGTACAATTCATAACTAGGTGCCTGCGGCTTCATATTTATTCCAAATCTGCTTCAAACTGTTTCCTGGCATCGATCTTTGCAAGGTAACCGATAGAGAGGGGACAGAGGCCAGTCACAGGGTGAAGAGATGCTTCTCGCTTCTGCTCTAGGGACCTTAAGCAGATGGCAGTACCCTCTTCTGTCCACTAGATGGAGATGATGCAGCACTGCCAGAAGCATCCAAACCCTCCCTTCAATTTACTAGGGCAGCTCTCGCCTCCAAAAATCACAATGGAATAGAATTAAAATTATATATTTAAATAGCTACTTGTTTAAAATTTTTTATTTATTTTCATTTTATGTGTATTAGCGTATTGCCTGCATGTATGTAAGTGCACCTGTGTCTTGCAGTGCCACGGAGGTCAGAAGACAGTGTCGGATCCCCAGAAACAGGCATTACTGACAGTTATTAGCTACCATGTGGATGCTAGGAATCAAACCTGGGTCCTCTGCAAGAGAAGCCAGTGCTCTTAACCACTGAGCCATCTCTCCAGCCCAATTTGTTACTTTTAAGTATATAAATAAATGAATATAAAACAAAGCAAAGGAATATACTATAATATAAAAATGTTTAAACATACTAATGGCATTTCCTGCTAGGCATGGTGGCACAGACCTGTAATTCCAGCAGTCCAGAGGCCGAGGCAGGAGGATCATGTATTGCAAGCCGGGTTGGAGTAAAAAGCAAGCTGCAGTCTAGCCTGGGCTACATAATAAGACCGACCCTATCTCATAAAACAAGCAAGCAGGGTTATAGAAATGGCTCAGCTGATAAGAGCACTGGCTGCTCTTGAAGAAGACCTGGATTCAGTTCCCAGCACCCTCAAGGTGGCTAACAACCATCTATAACTCCAGTTCCAGGGGATCTGACTCCCTGTTCTGGCCGCTAAGGGTACCTGCATACATGTGGTATACATACAGAGAAGCATACACACATGTGCATATAAATAAAACGTGAGATGTATCAGTCAGTAAAGCCTTTGTTTTGCAAACACAAGGATCTGAGTTCATACCCATTATCCATGTAAAGTCTGGGTATAGTGAAGCTCACTTGGAATCCCAGTGCTGGGGAAGTAGAGGTGGATCCCCCGGGCTCACTGGCCGGCCAGCCTAGTCTACTTTGTGAGCTCCAGATCATTGAGAGACCCTGTCTCAAAAACAATTTTTTAAACATTAGTAAATCCCCAAAAATTCAATCTTCTTTCTGTCGTTACCTCATCCATTCACAGACAAGTCTAAGCGATGCTGATGATGATATGTCTTTCTCCCTGGGTCCGAAGGCTTCCAGAGCCCATTCAGGACCCCACTGGTTCATCCCCTTTTCCAAAGGATGAATGTTTAAAGATTTGGTCAAAGGTTCCATGCTCTAAACAACACTGTAGGGGGGTATCGCTGTGCAAGCCTCTTCACACAAGTACAAGAAGTGGGGTTGTTGGCCCATTGCCTGTCTGGATCTTTAATTTTAAGGTAGACTTGCCAGATTAAAAGCTCTCAGACCTCATAGCAGCTTATACAGCTATAAAACAGTGCATATGTGTGTTCACACATGTTGTCAACAAAATCATCAGTCTGTTCAATTTTTGCCAGTTTTCTGAGAGAAAAAAATCATTTTAGTTAGCATTTTTATAATTATAATTGAGATTGAGCATTTCTTCTCTGGGTTTAAATCTATTTGCATTCTTTTTTCTTCCATGAAAAGTGCATTTATATTTTACATCTGTTATTTTGCTGTTTACCTTATTCACTTTTAGATATTATATTTTATTTTCTAATTATATTGCACCTTTTAGTTCTTTGGTGGTTACACGTGGACATAGTCTATTCTTGTCTGTCACCTGTGCCTTTAAGTACATTTTACATATAAAACGTTTTCTTAATAACATGGTTGGGGCTAGGGATGCAGCTCAATTGGTAGAGTGCTTGGCTAGTGTGCACAAGGAATTGTGTCCGATGCCCTGGCACCACATTAACCAGCGGTAGTTACACATGCCTATAATCCCAGCACTCAGAAGGAGGAAGCGGAGGATCAGAAATTCAAGGACATCCTTGACTGCATAGCAAGTTCAAGGCCAACATGGGCTACATGAGACTGTGTCTCAATAATAGTAATAATAATATTTACTATAATAATACTATGGTGATTCTTTCCTTTATTATTTAGTATGTCTTAAATCCTCAAACTTATATTTTTCTTTCCAAATTTTTTCATACTGTTTATAGATTTGTGTTTTCTATTAGTCTCTTTAATTTATGAATACTTTACTCTTCTGAATATGAGATAAGATCTAGCTTTTTCAAAAAGTATTTTACTTATTATCATTTTATATGTATGAGTGTATTGCCTGCGTGTGTATAAGTGCACTCGTGTCCTGCAATGCCCTCAGTGGTCAGTAGAGGGTGTCAGACCCCCTGGAACTGGAGTTACTGAAGGTTGTCAACCACCATGTGGGTGCTGGGAACTGAACCCAGGTCCTCTGCAAGAGCAGCCAGTGCTCTTAGCCGCTGAATCATCTCTCCTGCCCCAAGATCTAGCTGATTTTGAAAATTACTCATTTGTTACCACATCATTATTAAATAATTCTTCATTCATTTGCTTGTATTAGATGCCTTCTTCATATACATTGTTTGTTTTATTCCCACGAGTCTGTTTTATTTTCCAATTTTTCTTTTGTCTCATTCCTGTACAAATCCTGTTTTAATTCTAATTCCTTACAGTAATGTGGCTGTCTGGAGGATTGGCGTCCCTCCCTGTGTGCTGTTTCGGCTGATACTTAGATCATTTTCTAAAAATGTCTTGGCATTTCTCAATCCTTTAATCATGTAATTCGTTTCTTAAAGTCTGTTCTTCAATTTGCAAAAAAATAAATGAGTTTTTATTTGGAATTGTACTGAATATATGCATATATTTGGGAACAATTTATATCTTTATAGTACTGAACTTTTCCATCCAGGACTATGTGGTACTGGCAAAGTTTTTATACTTTTTGTTCAAAATGTCTATATTTTTCTTATTAAATAATTTTTAATTTACATTTTACTGATATTGGAAATGAGAGTTTTTAAAATATGTTACGTGTTTGAATTAGCTCCTCTTTATAGACTAATACTGACTTTGCTGATATAAGTCAATAGGACCTTAATGGATTCTTTCATTAATTTTGCTAGTCTTCAAGGTGATGTTTTTACATATCCAGATAGGTAGTCATATTTCCTACAAATAATGACCTAATGCATACTAGACAATTTGCTCTACTGCAGAGCTATTTTCAGCCTTCCTTTTTTTTTATAAAAAAAAAATACTCTGTTCCAAAGGCCAAAAATGTCAAAAGTATTTGGGAGTATTTGTATCTAATCCTTAAAAGATTTTAGGGTTACCCCTTCAGAGGAGGGAATGTTGGAGGGGAGGGAGTGGGCATGGATTTGATCAAAACACCTTATATGCATGTATGAAATTCTTAATAAAGTTTTTGTAAAAAAATTAATTTGAGATAAGAGCTATGGCTCAGCAGTTAGGAGCACGCATTGCTCCTCTGGAAGACCTGAGTTGACTGCCCAGCAATCAGGCAGGGTAGCTCACAACTACCTGTAATCCAGCTCCAGGAATTACATGTGCCTTCATGTACACAGACACACGCAGACACTCAGAAACACACACAGACACGCACACACACACACACACACACGCAGACACTCAGAAACACACACAGACACACACACACACAGACACGCACACACACACACACATACACAGAACTGAAAAAAATAAAGTAAATCTTTCTTAAGTGAAATAAAATCTCATTAAGCTGCCCAGGTTGACCTTGAACTCATTCTGTACCTCAGGATCAGTCTTTTGCATAGCTGGGCTTACCAGCCTGCACACCACCTGAACTTGAAAAAGAACACTTTGATCTTTCTTTTCCACAATTCATACTTACACCTTTTCTTGTCTTGTTGCTTTGGCAACAGCCTTTGCTCACTGTGTAGTAGTGTATTGTGTCTTTGCTATCCTTGGTGGCATGCTTCAGTGGTTTGCCATCAAGCATGCTGCTTGTTTTAAGTTTAGTAGCTATTAACCAGCTATTAGCCACTGAGCCATCTCTCCAGCCCCTAGTTCTATTTTTATGTTTATTACAGTCTTCCCTTTA